ATTGTTATTACAAAGTTATAAAAAATTCAAATATATATTTTAAATTGTTTTATTCAATTTTGAAATAATACATTTTTATAAAAATTTCATGGGGCCCCACCATGTGGCATGTGGGTGGGGGCCCACATGTGCCACAAAAGGGTGGCACGCCCCACCCTTTTTGGATTCTCTTGTTCGCTTTATGTTCAAGTTTTTAAGATAAGGTAAGTTTGATTTGTGGCATATGGTCAAATCCTGAAAGGGAAATATTGACCATGGCTTTATATGTTTTATAACAAGTTTGTTTTAAAGAGATATGGTCAATTTGAATTGATATTAAATATTGATATTATCTTATTTATATTTGGTAGTATTTACTTACTTGATAATATTTGATATATCATTATGGAATATGTGACATGGATCATGCAATTTTATGGAATGCGTGATATTTATTTTATTTAAATATATTGATGGAAAAATGGTTTAAGAAAATAGGGATAATGGTTCAAGCACCTTCCATAATGTTGATGGCCCATCTATGGAATGGATAGCTCAGATCTCTCACCCCACAAGTCACCTTGATGAACGGTTTAGATTAATATCATGAAAGAGACAAACTATGGGAAAACCCTGAGAAACCCTAAACATAAATATTCATTATAAATAGGGGTGCTCTTCCCCAATCTCTACACAACGTCTCTCACTCTCTCCTAGAGGGACACGCCCCGCTCTCTCTCCTCCATCTTTCGCTCTCTAATTTTCTCTCTCCAAATTTTAGGTGGTACTCTATCTCCTCTTTAGATCAAAGTAATTTTGGGAGTTAAAGTTTTAGTAGATATTTTAAGGGGTGGTTACCTAGTTTGGCCGAAATCAGCTATCTCGGTTCGAGATTGAAGGATACGGAAGAAAGGAAGATGGGGTTGACTGCGATGGGTCTTAGCTGGAGCCCTACTAGCTTGCCTTCACTAGGCTTTGCCCAAAACTTTTATGCGTCCCTCTTAAAAAAAGTGAATTATGTACGGAGACCAACAAAATACTAAAACAAAAGAAAGAGTCAATTTTGGGTTAAAATCACGGGGAAGGATAGTTAAATTGAGATTTTTTCAAAATTAACATTCGGTCTAAAGATATCATCCTTATAGTACATTTATTTATTTATTTATTTTTATTTATTTTATAAGTTTTTCAACAGGCACTGGCCTAATATTTGGGGCAATGCCCAATCGGTCCAATATTAGCATCATCGGACCACCTATTGTGATGTTATTCAAAGCAGTTTGATGTTGGCATCGTAAGACGGGAAAGATTGACTTTGTTAAGCATTGAGAGGCGGTCAAAACTGTCCATTCTCAAAACGCCTTCTTTCTTTTCAGAGCGTTCCGAGGTTGGCATCCTTAGACCATATTAACTCATTTGTTTGCTAAGAAATAAGGCGGTTTGAGGATGCCAACATCTGAGTGCTTTCTATTCTGGGCACTGTCCCTCACACTAAGACATTGCCCTACTAACGGAAAAACAAAAAACCCAAATATTAAAAAGCAGTTTGGGGATGACATCCTTGAACCGAGCCGCAATTTTAACCAAAAAAAAAAAGAAGTTGACGGAGGTTCCACATAAATTTTACCCAAAATTGGCCCATTTCATATTTTCATTTTTTTTTTCTTTTCACGAAAATCTCCATTATGGCTTTAAAATTAATTTCTAAACCTAACTATGAAACTTGAAGCTCAAAAAATGTTACATATCATGCAATTCATTTTTTTTTAGGGTAAAATAGACGATACATATAATATGTTACAATATACACCAAGCTTGAAATCCTAATTTCTTTTGAGAAAATTATAGATACCCCCCAATTTCAACTTTCCACACATCCTACCCCCATTACTTTTTGTATTATACCCTAAAGGACCAAAATACTATTTGTTCGCGCTCTTTCCCTTTTGAAAAGATCGGTCACATGCTACCAATTTGTCTCAAAATGTACTTTCTCTCTCTACCTCTCTCTCCACCATCTCTCCCATTCTCTCACTTTACGCGCCCACTCTCTCACATGATCTTTCTCTATTTTTCTCTCTATCCATTCTCTCTACCCACCGTCACTCCCATTCTCTCTCTACACCAAATGATACAAGGCTTGAAAATACGGTTCGACATAATTGGTGTTGGATCAAAATTTTTTAGCCACAAAACTTCTGGAATGTTATCGGTCTGGCACACTTTGTGTCGGACCGAAATTTTTTTGGTCTGGCACAAAATGTGCTGGACTGCAAAAAAAAATTGTGCTAGATCGCAAACTAGAGAGAGAATACGGATGAGAGAGAGTTGTTTAGGTTAGGTAAGTAGAGAGAGAATATCGATGAGAGAGATTTTGATTTGGCTTTTGGGTAAGTAGAGGGAGAGAGAATGTTTTGGCGGGTAAGTATAGATGGTGAGAGAGATAATATAAAATAATAAGTTAAAAAGGGCAGAGAGAGAGAAAAAAAGATGGCATTTTGGTAAAAACAAAAAAAGTTTGATTATTTGATTGGGGATATATACAAGAATAAATAATGTTGAAGTTTAGGGTACAATACAACAAATATTAGAGGTAGGATATGTAGAAAGTTGAAATTAATGAGGTATCTATAATTTTTTCAAATTTTTTTTACAACTACAATAGTTAAGGCAAGAGGATCAATTTGAAGATTTCCAACTCGAGAAGTACAATTTTCATTGCGTCTTGAGGTGAGGCTTTACTTTTTTTTATTTTGATAGGGCTCCACCGCTATCAAAATATTTTACTTCTTATATGTACCACAATGATTCACATAAAGTCGACTCGGAACCGGACCAGATAGGGTCCGAGCTAGAGTCGGATCACGACTCGACCTGGGCCTTGTCTAGGTTAAATGGACTTTGACCCGAGTGGCTCGACCTAATCTCATCGCCACCCCTACCGAACTGGTCATCTCACGTTACGGTCGCTCCCATTCTCTCCAACATTTTATCCGGCAACCGCGGTTTGCCCATAATCCAATCTGACTCAACGAGATCGAGTGAGATCAATCCCAATCTGACTCAACGAGATCGAGTGAGATCGAAAATTAAAACAAAATTTAAGACCCATGGGAATTGGGCGATTCCAGAGTTCCCCAGTCGAAAGTTGCCCACCCACCGATTCAGAGTCCCAGTTGGCTCATCGATTTTAAAACTCTGGTCAGTACGAATGGTACAAAAAAAAAAGAAAAAGAAAAAAAATAACACTAGCCCTCGGATCATCAGCATTTCACAATATCCACCAAAAACAGTTCCCTTCCAATTTATTTCTTTCATTGAACTTCATCACTGAAATTCCAAATACATTTTACTGTTTTGAAATAATCAAAATTAAAAATAAGCCTACAATCAAATAATAAGAATGAAAGAATCAGTATTATACAGGAGATACATATGAATCAATGAAATATTCACGCCTTGCAACCGAGAAGGACTCATATTTAGAGATTATCTTCGACGCCCGCACTCAGGGGGAAGGCCTTGAGGGAAACGCTTAGTATCGCCACAATAATTATAAACCATGTATTTCCTCTGAACCCACCTCATTCTCCTATACATGTTTGCGCTCAGTTGGGCTCGGGGCTGGGGCTGGGACTGGGACTGGGCCTGTACTGAGCTCGTAGTTGCAGCAGAGGTGACTGGAATAGAGTTACAGAGGAGAGGAGAAGAAGATGGGTCTTTACAGTTGGTGGCCTTGAAACCAGAGAAAGAAGCAGTGAAGGGAGCCAGGGACCAATCTGTCTTCACAAGCCCACCTCTAGTTGCCCAGTCATCTGCGTTCCATAAGCTCGCGTAAAGCCTCATGGACTGGTTCTTTGGAAAGGGCACTCCTGTTGTTGCTTCAGTGTTCTCAAACACTCTAACAGGGATCCCATCCACCAAAAATCTGCACACCCCAGGTTAAAAAACTCATCAGTAAAATGTTATAGAGAGAGAGAGAAAAATTGTTGTATAGAGAGAGGTTTGGGCCTAATGGGCTTACATGATTTGGGATGGGTTCCAGATGATGGAGTAGGTATGGAAGGCTTTAGTGGGATCGAACCAGAGATAGAACTGGACCTCTCTGTTGCCCTTCCCCTGAGAGAATACGTTTGTGTGCATCACGTATGGCTCTCCTGTCACGTTTCCAAGAAACTCGAAATCAATCTCATCGTGGTTGGGGCCTTGAGAGGAGAGCTGCCCAAATACAATAAATCGTTCAAATTTCAGCAATCAAAATATAAATTCAGGAAATTTTTCTGATAACCCGATCAATTTGAGGATGAGTGAGAGAGAAAAATAAAAGGAACATACATAATAGGTGGTGACCGTGCCAGCTGAGTTGCCTTCGACGAGCTTAATCTTCATGTCGATACGAGTAAACAAAAATTCTTGCTTTGATCGGAAACCAGAACCTGAATGGAAATGTTCATGTTAACAATCTCCTTTTGTTTGTCTAATATGTAAGTCATGAAGAGAGAGAGAGAGAGAGAGAGGGAGGTGTTGTCATTTACCTGACCACTTGTCAAGGGTAAGCTGCACAGTATCGCCTCCAGGAACCACCTTTGCACGCTGGTCACCCCAAGTGATGTCAAAGTTCTGAATGAAAGTTGCAGAAGCACAAGAGAGAGAAGCAAAGATGAGAAAGAGCAGCTGAATTGAAGCCATGGCTGTCACACAAGGTGTTTTAGTAGTGAGAACTCCAAAGATTGTTGTTGATGGTGCAATGAGCATCGATCGCCCTTATTTATACAGGGTCTTCAATAAAGAGAGAGGAAAGGGGGGGGTGACTGTAAAGAAAGTACAAGGCGGGGTGGGTCACAACTGGAGCCACTCCCCACCAGCTTGCTTTCACTTGGAAAAACATGTGTAGCACTGCTTTGGCATATAACTCTACGCGTTCTCTTTTTTAAATTTCAAAACCAACGCGCCTCTCCTATTCCTTTTCATGCGATCGTGGTGTCATTGGCGTGAACAGAAGGAAAGTTATCAAGTTTGGTGGCGACCACTTGAGTAAACGGGGGTCCTACGCCCGTTGCAATGTTCTCAAGTTTTAGATGCGCAACCTGTGGCGTTTGGGCATGTCCTCTTGGGATTTACCGAAACTTTCGAATTGAAATTTAAATTTTAAATTTTAAATTTTTGTACCCTCTTTAAAACCATAGGATTTTGTAGTGATATACCCTTTCTAATTTCTTAGGATTTTGTACAGATGTATTCTTTCTACTTTTATTAGATAGATTCTTACAATTAAGTCATTGCGACGTCTAGTATTCTCTAGAAATACCCACTTTTTGGGTTGATTTAATCAACAATATACAAGGTGTAACAATCCTAAAATTTCAAACAAAAAAAAAAAAAAAAAAAAAAAAAAAGGAAAAAAAGAGAAAAGATACTTTTAAATAGGTGATGGTCTGTTTGAGTATGATGGTCCTTGGGGACCATCACTATTTTCAAAAGTTTTTACTTGGTTTAAACTTTTGCTTGCTGCTTGCCACGTCCTTTAGTGGACGTGGTTTTTGTATGTTAAAAACAAACTCTTAACGCGACACCTCAGGTATGAGGTAGAGCTAA